TATTATATCTATGGTTGTATGCAATGTAAAAGTGAAAGTATGTGATTTTCAAAGTATGTTTGATGGACGTAATTTCATGGACCTCACAAGGGGTTACATGGTGGTGCCTCATGTTGTGATCCACAGTGAATTCTCTTGTTGAGATTCAAGTATGTTTAGAATGAATGTAGGAGCTCAGTCTTGGGGGTCATCCTGAAACTCCAATGGTTTTTCTTCTCACGTAGAGAGGATTGAACCATGTGGTGAGGAGTAGCAGGAGGTCTTAGTCTCGGAGGCTTCCAGTATGCTCCAAGGCGCGGAACGGACTAACCTTGTGAGTGTGGCAGGGTGGGGAACCCAAGTTTCATAAGCCACCATGGGTGCATGACCCGCCATAGCTCGACTCTCATTCTAAAGTTCGGACGAGTCAAGTCTAGTGTTCAACATGTTAGGATACCTGTCTTAATCTGTTTTGATTTGAGAATAACTCTTGAAGATTCTATGCTTGACATGATACATGTTTTTATATTTAATTAGCTTACCCTTGCTTGCTTGTGTTTGTGCATGTTGTATGTGTTTCCTTTTGCGATGATCATCCACTTGGGTGGGAGCAAATGGCGAGGAGGATACTTTGGAAACAACTCTTGATGGGGACGGTAGTGCTACAGCTTAGATTTGCTAGCTTTTATTTCCATGAACTCATATTATTTTTGAAGAACTTTAATGCATTTAAAGTTTTAAATTCTCTGTAATTTCTAGGAAGGAACTTTAATACTCTAATTTTCAATTCCACATTCTTCTAAGAATGACTGTAATTTTAATTACTTTTGACGTCTTTATTATATGTATGCCTTTTCTATATATTTTGGGACGTCACATTTCACTAATTTCCTCAAAATACTTAAATAAATAACACCATTTAAACTCGATAATATGAACCTTGTTTACTACCGAAACATCCTAAAAAAAATATTTAGAATTGGCTTCGGGCTTCTATCATCCTTTTCTCTTCAGTGTTCTGTTTGTTGCTCTGGTTCTGACGGCAGGTAATTAAAAAAACCATTAATTTCATTTCTATAATTTAGTATAATTTAGCATATAATCATTTGGGAAAATGGTTTTTGTTAATGTTTCTTGTTTTTTCTCTACAATAAAGGCAAATCACATAAATCCATGTGAATTTTATTGTGAAGTTTAATATAATTTTTATGACAAAACTTAAAATAATTTTATAGTAATATCAACGAGCAGAAGCAGCAAGAAAAATTATAGAAGGCCAAGAAGGCCACCCTCTTAAGTGCGTCGGTCCTTGTGGAAATTGCATCGAAGCTTGCTTAGCACATGGGTATCAGAGTGGTTACTGTAATGCGAAAAACTTTTTATTTCAATGTTGTTGTTTTTTATTGATTTATGCTCTTCTAAGGACATTTGATAAAAATCTAATAAAAATTGTGTTTCAATTGAAATTTTTCAATATATATTTGTTTGTTAATAAATTGTTTTATATAAATTTGAAATGTTATTTAAGAGACTTAAATTTAAGATGAAAAAATTGAAAACTTTTAAAGACATCAGAAAAATAGAATCAAGAGAATTACATTTCATGATTATTTGAAAGATTGTACGAAAAAAATGATTTTATATATACAGCTGAAAACACCTATGTCAGTGTTCACTTTTTAACATTATAACAAATTTTTTATTGAATATAAAATATATTATATTAAAAATGATTGTAAGAGTAAATTACTTATAAAAATAGTTTTTATTATTAATAATTATCTGAATTAAAAAAAAGTAGCTATTAAAAGAATAAAATTAGAAAAATAAATTATTATGACTTAAGATAGTTTTATAGAAAACATGTAAATAAATATTTATTTTTGAAAATAAATAAATAATTATATTTGTCAGACCTCAGAAAAACGCACTCAAACCCCTCCTGTCAGCTCATTAAAACGCACTTAGAAAACCCCTCTGAACGGACGCCAGGTGTCAGGCAATGAAGATTCGAAAATCAGATAGTGGAAGGCAGGTGTCAGTGAGTAAGCGGAAGTTCGTTCTAACGAAAGAAGCAAAATCTGATTTTCTGAAATTCCCGTTTCACTCACTCTGCATGCACCCTTCTTCCAAAACTCTGATCTTTCATTTTCTCCTTCTTCTCACTAGAAAATCTATCTTCTCTCTAAGAAAACTCACCCTTTCTCTTCTCCGATCATCATTCAGAGACCGTAGAAGCGTTCCCAACGGCCTGAGCTTCATTCTGAACCGAGCAGTTTCTAGTTCTGAAACTTGTAAGTTTCCTTCCCCTTAGCCGTTCGTTCTTATAGACATGCAAACCAAGTTCTGGTTGCATGAGTCCTTAGTTTAATTCTGAACCCTCTTGGTCTGTTATTTGATTTTAGTTCGAAGAGTAATGGAGCGTTGAGGGTAGAAGGAATCTTAGTTTGGCAAACCGAGTTGCAGTATGTAGGACGTTCGTTCACACTAGAGGTAAGGGAAGCTTATTTAATTTAATATGTATGCTACTATACTGTATGACCATTCATTAGTTAACTGAATGACTTTGAAGCATGATGATTGATATGAGTGGATTGCATGAACGTTCATTTGTTTAATGAGTGGAAATGAAATATGGTTGAGTTATGTTTTAATGCATGAAAGATATGAACCTTATATGATATGGATTTTATGAAGTATGAAAGTTGATCATGATATGAATGTATGAAGTTATGAAACTATATGTCAAGAAAGGAGATAAATACCAATGAATTCTGAATATGAAATTTCTCATATGAAAGTGTACGTTCGTAACGGAACGGTCATTGACCGTTCGGTTCTTCTGGTAAACATAGTTGAAATGGGATTCTTTCATTTGGAGAGAATCCTGGTTGAGGACGAGTGTCCTCGTATGGTAATACTATGCTTGAGCGTTCGGCCAAGCACAATTGTATCTGAGTATCCTGTGATAAGTTAAATTTATATATATATATATATATATATATAT